AGGGTAGAGAGTACCTCCCTACCAGATACCAGAGTATTGTGTACTGGAATTTTCCAAGTACATGCTGACAATATCTTCAGGTAAAAGCCCACAAGTGGTGTCTTGTCTCTGTCAGTTTTGCAGTTTGTTTCCAGTCTTGCTACTATCTGTAGGCAGGCTGTGTTCTTCCAAAGTGGTTATATCTTCATCATAGCATACCTTAAGTCAGAAGGCACTTCTGAAGGCCTTCTTGTCCACCTCCCTGTGGTCAGAGCAGTTTCAGTTACACTGGACTGCTAGAGGACCTACTGTCCAAATGAATGCTGCAATAAAGAACATTGCAACTAAGTTACTTTGCAGAAGTTTTATTAGGGAAGGAACCATAGTGCTCCCACTTCATTGTCAGCAAGAAATATTGTGATTTAACCTCAGAGGTTCATAGACTATTGAAAGATCTATTAGACATGATAAAATCAGCAGATGGTCTTACCATAGTCCTGGATTATCAGCTTATTGCTCTCCTTTAATCACAGTTTTACTGTGGTTTGTGACTGCACAGGTATGGAGTTCATAGAAAACAAAGATTGAAGTATAGGGAATTTAGGCTTAGCACAGTCTGGATGCAGGTCAGGTCATTAGGCAGAAGCATTAATGGCACTGATGACTGATAACTGTTTGGATAAATGAAAGGATCCAGTTTTTCTCCTGGACAGTGCTTCAGTGCTATTGACTATAAGATACTGCTTTCCATCCTGAGAAGGACTAGCAAGCTAAAAAGGCTCAAGGTTTTCATTGAGAGATATAGCAATGGGGATCACTGGTTGCCATCTGCAAAAGAACGGGAGTGAGCTGATACTCTCTTTCATTCCCATTAAACTGGTGTCAAGTGACCTAGTAGAGAAACATGGACTCAGTTGCCAGCTCATCCGCAAATGACTCTGATCTTTACATCTGTTTTTTCCTGCTTGCCTGCACCACTGCCTGATGTATGTCCCAGCTGTTCTATAGCAGCATCCATGACTACAGAACATTGGTCAAAGTGTAAACCTAAATGAGTCTGTAGTAATGATGACAAAAACACACTGTTAGGAGTTTGACCGTTTCCTCGGTCAGTCGGTGCTTTTTGAATGTGAGTCATTCTGGGTTCATGAGGATCTGGCATAACAACATCTGTAAATACCACTCTGCAGTGTGTTCCATTCATTTTGTAATGGTACTGATGTGTGATATACAGCCTTTTGCCACCTCCCCTTTGTGTCACCAGTGCTGTAAACTTCATGAAGCTGTCATCATTTAAAGAATGTTACTGTACCCATATGCCAGGGAGACAGGCTCTTGCACGCACACCAGAAGTGAATTTCAGTAGTAGTTTCCTTATAGAACTGACGTAAAAGCTGAGTTCTTTGCTATTTTCATTATACTCAAGACAATTTAAAGATACTCTGATGTTTGGCATTAGATTGTAAGTATCACAGAAACTGCCTGTCACAAGGGTAAAGTTTAAACTGTGCGTGAGGTAGTCTTGATACGCTCATATAACAGATAACCCCCTGCCTCACCTCCCCTTGCCCTAGATACAGAGATAGTGAAAAATGCTCTGAAGTCAACAGATGCTTCCAATTTGAAACATGTTAGAGGGATCCTTTTTTAGAAAGTTCAAGGTAAATTTTGATTCCTAAAATAAAATCTAATGAAGTTATTAAATTGCAAAAGAAGTTACTTCCTAATTGTCCTGTTTTCTGGGGAGGGAGGGAGAGTGGGGGACGGACCATTGGCCCTTAGTAGTTCTAGGACATAAACAAACAAACAAATAAATAAAGTGAAACTATAAATAAGTCTACAGACCTTTTTGTTCACATTTTGCATTTTCTCTTCCTCAAAAAGAGCATAGAGCACAATATATGGTGAACAACTGCTTTTGCAAATCTGACCCTTGCAGGTTTTCATCAGATACTGTTTTCTTTAGTGCCAAGGAAATGGTTTGACAATTCAAGTCTATCAGGCAGCACAACACTTCTTTACTGATGTGAATGAAGTCTTCTCAGTTTTTGTGTTCCTGTTCTGACTTCAGCAACACAAGAACGAGATCATCCAAATCTCTCATAGTGGTGAATAAAAGTTAAAGAAATAATTTTGACAACATAGTTGTAAAAAAAAAGTTTGTTATCACCTTTTTATATTTGAAATACTGGTACACAGAAGAGATATGACTTATCCAAGATTATACCAGAATTATTTGTGAGATTCTGAAATCAAGTTAGCTGTTCCACATTCTAGTCGCCTGCCTTAAACTCCAGTCATCCTTCACTGTTGTTTATAAAAGAGTCAAACAGTATTTATTTGACCCAGACTTTTAATGGCCTCTGCCTGAGTTCATAAGTATGGAGAGATGAGCAGGAGGCTTTTTCCCTGGAGCAGCTGTTCAAGACTACTCACATAACTCCTGCTGTGCTGTTGCTTTGGAGGAAATAGGCAGCACTTGCTTTTGCTTCTTCAGGGAACAAGCATTTGAAAACAGAATGGAAGAGATTCAACCCATGCCTTGGTTTGCTCTGGCCTATGGTTTCTGTGTTGTGTAGGGCGAAACCATGCTGTAACTACTGGTGCAGCCTATGCGGCACCCAAGTAGAAAATAACACAAAGAAGGATTGTATCTAACAGTTTGGCTTACTTTCTTCCCTGCTGCTATGTGTTTAAATGCTGCATTCTAATCCTTTATTAAATGCAGTGTAAATTCATCATCCCAGTGAAGTGAAGAGTAAGTTCATAAGTCAGTAAAAATATTGCTGACTGTTCTCAGTGTTCCAGTTTGTTTTCTGGAGAAACGGTGTTTGTAAAGAGATGTTGGGAAGAAAAACAATGAAAAAATGGAATTACCTTACTCCACTCTAACAATGAAAGAAAAGAGAAATACATTACTTTACAATGATCCAAGACAGATTTGTAACAGAGGTCATTGCTTCTTTGCAGTGTCCGATTTTACAACTTTATCATCAGTAGTTTAAATAAATGCATGTTATTAAGGTTAGAAAGTGGAGAAAGCCAAGCAACAAAATAAATGTAAGCTTAAATAAAGTGACGACAAACAAAATGTTGTTGCCTTTTTCTCTGTCTAGACCCCTGTGTTGAAAGCAGTGTTTTCATAAAACTCAGACAGAATTCATTTCCATACTGAGTGCTTAATAGTTCCTGTCAGAACAAAACAGCTGGGAAACATATGGTATCCATTTCCCTGTATCACTTGGAAAAAATTTCACATGTAAATAAAACCAACATAAAAGTGTAGGCCTTTGAACCTCGAATCTTATACAATACATAAATAAGTCAGTACAGTGCATTCTTTGTATTGGCCCACTAAGTTACATGCCTTTTGCTTATTATTATTTTTATTTCTTCTTCAACAATGTATTCTTAAGTGCTTCCAAAAGTATTAAGGTAATTTTTAGACATCCGTAACTACTAAGCTATACTAATCTTTCACTTTAAACATTAACATTGCACTGAAAGTGTAAGTATCTGTTTCCTTAGGAAGGTGTTCATGGCAAATTGTGTGTTTTGACCACAAATTAGATCCCACTGATACGCAGTTAGCACATGTAATAAATCTGCTTTGTTTAAACAGTATTCTTGACTTTCAGTATGCATTAACTCTTAGTGTACATTGAAAGGGGCATAGAAAATGCCTAAAGGCTTTAGTGGTTTTAGCGCTGTCCCTCAACTGAAAATAATAAAATAAGGAAAACTCTTTGCCAGAGTTCGACTGATTATGGAGATCATAAATATCACAGCTGGAACTGTGTGAACGACTGCAAGTTCAGTAGGATTGAGTTCAAGTTCAATAGGATTAAGAGTTCAGGTGCCTTGAGCTCCCTTTTTTCTCTGCAAGTCAGATTCACTGGTCAAAATCCATATCCTGCAGTGCACTGAAATAATGGTTTGGAAGGTCCAGAGTTATGTGTTTGTATGTATATATATATATCTATATAAAAGGGTTGTAAAGTTTGACAGAGAAGCCCAACACACAGAGGGGAAATGGAAAAGGAAACATCATACCTAAATAAGTAGGCTTAATTTTTGGATCAGAGAATTGCAAAATTGTTCAGGTTGGAAGGGACCACATGAGATCATGTAGTCCAATGGCCCTGCTTAAGCAGGGTCAGCTAGAGCAGGTTAAGCCTAGAATTGTGTCCAGTCCAATTATTAATATCTCCACAGATGGACATTTCACAGTGTCTTTGCGCGACCTATGCCGATGTTTGACCTGCCTCACAGTATAAAAGTGTTTTCTTGTGTTCAGATGGAATTTCAGGTGTATCACTTCATCCTCATGGAGTCTTGTCCTGTCAGGGGGCACCATGAAGAGCCTCGCTCCGTTTTCATTGTTTCCCATCATGTAATTATACACAAAGATAAGATTCCTCCTGACCCTTCTCTTCCCCAGGCTGAACAGTGTGAGCTCTCAGTCACTGTTAGTATGAATTTCCAGTTCTCACGTGAAAAAGACATCTCCCAGAGATAACGGGCCTTAAAAATTAAATAGTTGTTACTGTTGTTAATGCGAATCCACTAAAAAGTTTTGATTAACCCTTTTGTTGACCTCCCAGAAAATCATCCTACTCATGTCATGCATCTTCATGCAATAAAAAGCTCAGAGTGCAAACTAGCATAGTTGGGCAGGACTTACTAGTGTCCATTACTTGATTAAAACTACTTTATTTCTAAGTGTTTACAGTGTGGATAATTTGAAGAAAGTTTATTTTCTGGAGCATCAGTCTTCAGCCATTAAATCTGCTTAGGTATGAATTAGCATGTTACCATGCAATTAATGTTTCTGGTGTTTGGCCAGGTATGTCTTTAAAGCATGCTGCATCATGTTACACGTCTGGTAATAATCACTTCTAAATCACATGCCTCTATTTCTTTAGTTTCCAGCAGCAGCTGGAACTGTGGGGTCTCAACTCTTATCGGAAATGTGCAGAAACCAACAGGAATTGCAGATGCATGCAATAAATTCAGACCAGTGAAGAGGGTTTCCCCATTAAAGCACCAGCCAGAAAGCTCTGAGAACAATGAAAGTGACGACCAGAAGAACCAGAAGGGAGAATACCAGAAAGGCAGTGATTCTCCATCTGCACCTCCAAATGATGAGCAGAGCCCAGGAGAAGGAGAGAGCCTTAAAAGCAAAAACATCGAGCCTGCTGTTCTGCTTGGAGAGTTGGAGCACTATGACCTGGATATGGATGAAATTTTGGATGTGCCTTATATTAAATCAAGCCAGCAACTTGTTCCTTTTACAAAGGTAGCTCCTGAGAAAAAAATTCTGGGTGTATGTTCAGCAGTGAATGGTCTTAGTGGCAAGACCTGCTCTGCAGGGAACACAGAGAGCTCTCCTGCCAGTGGGACACAATTCTGTGTGCTGTCTCCTGTCAAAGGCTCTCAGCTGAGAAAAACGCAGCCCATTGTCCTTGATCAGCACAAGCATTTAACAGAAGAATTAGAGCTTTCCCAGCCTTTAGTTAAGTGTAGCTCAGTCCATGAATCTGAAGCTCAGAGCAGGGGTTTCCTCAGCAGGACATTTGTTGATTCTCATACTCATAAAACTGAGAAGACTCTGCCTAACTGCCACCTGAGGACTCTCCACCTGCAGACAGCAGTGTCAGAGAGCAAGCAGCTAGAGGAACTGAGTATGAACTGGAGCAGTGCAGCGAGCCCAGAAGAGAAGAGCGAAGAGGTGAAGAAAATTAAGAGCATCTTAAACATTGTAAAGGAAGGCCAAATATCTTTATTGGTAAGTATAATCTTTTTCATAAAACACACAGAATAAGGGTGATGTGTGATGTGTTTTATTAACCCAGCAAAGCTGATGAAGTCTGTATTTTGAAATGCTGCCTTTTTTATCTTGTACACTCCTTGGAAATTGAGCACATGGGCTTCCAAATGGAAAGTTTTAATCTTTAAATCAGATATGTAACAAAACCAAGATACTAGTTTTATGTGAACACGGCCAAGATTGCTAGTTTATGCAGTACACTGAGATCATATAGAAGGCAGAAGTTTTAAGTATCGAGATCACTTAAATATCAAATTTAAATCTTAACTGAGTTTTGCCTTTCACAACATTTGTGAGTCACTTTGTTCAATTATTGCTGGTTTGCCTCAGTTGTTATTTAGAGGCTGATGATGGGAACAGAGGGGCTTCTGTTGTATTCTGATTATTATTTAAGAGTGTTTATGCTGTCTAGTTGCAGCAGTATTCTCAGGCAGGAGCTTTCTCTAAAGCCTCGTTGGCCTCTGACCCATATGAAGTTTTTTAGTAAATTCCAGCGCTGTGATCAGGCACCATCAATGATGGTTTCCAAAGTAACTAGATGCAAGTTAACACAATGATGCAGGGCATGTGAACGGCTGGTGGAGGCACAGTGTATGTATGAGCTGTTTTTGTTAGATTTTTGCTTAGCTTCTCTGTTTACCAGTCTAGCTCAAGCACAAAGGCATGCTATTGAAGTACCAGCAAGAACAAAGGCAGATATTCAAAGACTAGATAGAGGCAGAAGACAATATTAGATTACTCAGTAAGAAATAAAAGCAAATTAAATTCACACCAAAAAAGGAACAGAGGGGTGGGGGAAAGAAATAATTATAGATAGGTAGTCATAAAGAAAATGCATATTTTTTCAAAACAGTTTGGGACCTCTGAATAAAGTAGTCTCATCAAACACTGCTCTGTCAAGTCTGCGCAAATCTAGGAACTTATCATTGCTACTCCTTAACTCTGTCTTCCTTCTTCCATTTTCCTTCTGGAGTTTCTCAGTCCAGTTGTTTTGTCTCAAGATTAGATTTGGGCAGAAATAATGTATTAGGTCATGGTTGTGTAGTACTTGGGTAAATATTCCAACAAATTTTTTCATAGAAACAAGCTATGAAATAAAAGTCTTCTCTCGTGTGTTTTAACTACATTTTATATTGTGTTTAACACAAGCTGCCACTAGTGGCGTGAGCAAAATTAATCAGGAAATTTTTTTTAGGAATCATGGATGTTTTCTGTTCAAGTACTCATCAGTATAGTGCAAAAAAAAAAAAAAAAAGAGAAACCAAATGCAAAACAGACAGAAATTATGAAAATGTGTGTGGCTTTGCAGCTACTTCATTGATCAAACTAGTACAAAGACTTAAAGCTGCTCAAGATCTTGCACTGTTCTGTGACAGTTGTATGAGACGTAGAGAAACTACACAGTGAATCAAGCCAGTGAGCATCCTGTCTCTGTCCTTCTACTAGTAGTAGCCAGGTTCTGTACAGTGAAGTGAAAAGCTCCTGGGTTTGAGTCATTAAAGAACATGCCTATGGGGAAACATCTTTATATTTGGCTTGTGTCTTGGGCTGTGAGAGTTAATGTTCTGTGTATCTTCTTATCCTTAGTTTTAACTAACATAATGCCTTTTTTAACAGCCACATTTAGCAGCAGATAATCTAGATAAGATCCATGATGAATGTGACAACAATCTGTTGCATGTAGCAGCATCAAAGGGACATGCAGAATGCCTGCAGCATCTCACTTCTTTGATGGGTGAAGACTGTTTGAATGAACGAAATATTGAGCAGCTAACTCCAGCTGGATTAGCAATAAAGGTAACTTAGACTCTCTCTCTACTGTAATGTGACAAAAAGGTAATTTAGTTCTTTCTGTGATGGCAGTAAGTAATCCATCCAGCAGGATGTTATTTTTCAAGCATTTTGTTAATTGAAAGGAAAAAGACTCAGTTGTTTCTTTAGAGAACATAACAGTTTTTGGTTTTTTTATATGATGAGGAGGATTTTTCTAGCATAATAAAAAGGATACAAGTAGTTTCATTGTTTTACTTAATTATTGAATTGAGAGAAATTGAGGTAAGTAAGTAAAATAGTGTGCATTCTTGTGTTTATATACATACATTACATATAGAAGTAATAAGAAAAATATCTAATTTTATTACAATTTTTCTTTTTCCCATATAATTTTAAATTACCTAATATTTATTACATTCTTCTTGTTTTTATAAAAATAAAACTGAAACTTGAAATGGGTATTTCTTTCCTTCTCATTATAGTTTTTTCCATTTTATGCACACAAACAGCTTTTTATGTTATGTATGTTGACCTCTGTAAAGTTTTAACTGAGCAATTGAAATGCATGCTTCAGCTATAAAGAATGCAATAGCCTTTATGAACATGAGAGTTGAAAAATGAAGTAAGGGCGGGCTTGAATGTAGGTCATGCCAAACTGCATTTACCAAAGTACCATCGCTGACAAGGGGCTGCAGTAAGAGAAGCTACTAAAAACTCTTGCCTTTATACTGGACCACAAGCATGCTCTGATGAAAGTGTTCATCTCTTTCCATAGCATCTACATCCCACTTCACATTAACTTGCAAACTACTGGGAATGTGCATAGCAGCTGGGAAGTCTTGGGACTGGGCTGCCAAAGGTGTTCAGGGCAAGAACCACCTCCTTGTCTGCATTTGGACAGTATCATCTATTACAGATAAATCCTAATCCCTGAGGATTGGGTGTTCAGATACTACATATGTAGGAATAATTTAGGAAGCATGCATTTAATTAGTGATCAACGAAGACTTGAGTTTGTAGTGAAACTGTTCACTCTGCTCCAGCAAGTCGTCTCATTTAGTCATTGAGCCTTGCTGCACCAGTGATGGAAACAGAACCACGGTGTTACTCTGAACCATCTGAAAATAGAGGCCATTTTGTGTATGTATACATTGTGTATACATATATAGTATTACATAGTATACACATGTATACATTGTGTATGTAATACTATTTGACTGCCCCTTTCACATTGCCCATTTCACTATAATCAGTAGCCAAACTATAATTGATCCAGGACAGCAAGATAAACAAGTGCATTACATGAGAGCAGATAACACATTTTCAAATGAACTGGAATTTCATGACATTTTAATAATTCTGATAAGCTTTTCACTCCTCGTAGATGTGTTTAGAACTGAAAGAGCTGGAATTTTTTTTATTTTTTTAATTTGTTTAGAATGGTCAGCTGGAGTGTGTTCGGTGGATGGTGAGTGAAACAGAAGCTATTGCAGAATTAAGTTGCTCAAAAGATCACCCAAGCCTTATTCATTATGCAGGCTGCTATGGCCAGGTATGACTTTCATTTACTTTTTCAAGTAGATTATTTAGATGCTTATACAAGATTTTCAATTTAAAGCATGTTTATAATTTTGTGGCTTTAAGTAATGGCTAGGACAAGATTAGCTGGCGTATTAGGCCAACCTATCAACCCAAGAACATCTAGGGAAATTAGCTGTCTGATCCCTAGAGGACTCCTAGGACACATCAGAAAATCATCAAACATTTTTTGATAGTTCCCATTCACTTTCTCAAAATATTTTGGCAAATTGTGACAATTTAGTAAGTCAGTATATTGGCAATGATGTGAAGTGTGGTGAAACTTGAACATCATCTGTCTAGCTCTAGCCAGCTTTATTGAGAATTACACATAAAAATATGTTGTAAACCAATCCTGTTCCACACTTTTTATCTATAAATGTAATGATGAGAAACCACAGAAGTGCAGCATTTTGGTGCTTTGCTAATGTCTGGGGAAACATATACCACTTAATCGCACCACATTCTCTTCCCACAAAGTCTGTTTTTCCTAAGTAGACTTTGCAATAACCCCTCTTCAAAGGACCTTCTCCAGGATCTACTGCACAAGGAATAGTGATTGATTGTTCTTCTCTGATCCCTTTGGCAGATGGACCACTTTATCACCCACTTTCTTCAACAGACATTAAGGATAAAGGCAGAAAACCCACTATTTTTATGCTAATACTTTTTTTTTTCTTTACTTTTTAAGAGAACAAGCAAAATGTAACCACTAAGAAAATTATCCTTTGCTTTCCTGTACAAGTGTGGTTGTCTCATTCAGTGCCATACAATTATTGTGGCATGTTTCTGCTGTTAAGTGATCCTGTCCAAGCATTAATTTACTGGAGGGGGAAGGAAACAGAGGGGGTGGGTTCGAAAGGCTGTGGAGCTGGAAACCTACCCTGTCTCCCACTGTTTCCATAGGCACACAGACACCCTTATTTTCATGCTATGCAAAGACCTTCATTGTCTTTTCTCCACTCACCTACTATGCAGATGTTACTTGTGCAAATCAGGACCCTGCTGGATGTACCAATGGATTGTGTCCTGCTTTCTGTAGCAAATTTGGCCTGTAAACCTAGCACTGAATACAGGGAGGCTGGGAGCCAGGTCAGAACTGGTTTCAAGAAAGGCATATTTGCTACTGGGATGAAAAAGTTTGGAAGAGAAAGTTTAATGTGAACTTACATTCATATCTTCAATTGATAGCCTAATTTAGTCCTCATCTCTAATGATATTTATACAAACTAAATCCAGAGAAGCTTTGGGTTTTTTCAGTGAGCTATGCTCCCTACTGCCAGGAACAGATCTGGCACACTTTATCTAGATTCTTTTCAGAGCAGAACGGAAGCTCTACCAGTTAAGAAACACCAGCTACAATCAACCACCCATGAAATTTAAAAAGGTGATCTGTAAATTGCTGCCAAATTTTCTTAGTTAGCTGAATGCCAAAGAAAGGTCACATGTAGTGTCTATTATCTTTTTTTTTTTTTTATAATCCATAAACAACTTGCAAACGTGAAGGAATGTTGAGGCTGAAGGGATGCCAGACTATCTTACCCAACTGTGTTAAGAAGAAGAAAACTTTGAGAAATTCAAATGCGTAGTTGGCACTGTCCTCGAAGCTTTAATTTATTTTACCATTACTTACACGAGAGATAATCCATGTAAACACTGATCTTGGCAGAATTACAAGAGTAATATTTTTATAAGGAAGACCTGTTATTGAATCATTTTCTAAAAGAGTCAGTCCATCCAGTGTTTCCTCAGGCATTAGGCATGAGCACTGTATTTTTCTTCAGTAAGTATAATTTAGAATGGGCAGCAAAAGGGAGTTCATAGCAGAGCTCCTATGTTAAAGGTCATCAAACCACAGTTATGGCCTGAGTCCAGAGACATCTCAACAATATCATATTTGTCTAATGAGAGAGGGACCACATAAGTTCATCTCCTTGAAGAGTAGAAGAGCTTAAAGTCAACCCGTAGCCTGATCAGCATACCTTCTAGCAAGGGCTTCTTTAAGCATGGAATTATGCAAGGAGCATCCATTGTTGTTGGCAGGCCTCTCCATGCCAGTCATAAGTTGTGAGTACATAAAGGATTGTGTACCAGCTGTGTCTGGCACAGTCACCATGTGATGGGGAAGAAATGGTGGTGCAGTCCTAGGTGCACATAGTAGGTCCTTACTAAGAGCTTCACAGGATTGTAATGTCTTTCCAACATGGATGCTGTGATAGCATGGACTGCACAGGTTAAGAGGCAGAGGGTGGGGAATGCCAAGGGTTTGTTGCCTCTCAGCTCCAGAGAGTCTAGGGGGACTTCAGGGAACCAGAGCTACAGCATAACTGAGGACCTAGAAGCAGTTCTGCACACCACTTGCTGGTGGTGTAGTGCTGGAGAGCACACTGGTGAAGAGTGTGTGACATTCAGATACACAAATACCTAGCAACACACCTTTTTTGCACCTTGGGATGTTTGCCTTCCTGTCTAATGTCAGTTTTGCAAGGATAATGTGTTGTTTTCTCTCACTCCTACTCATCTTCTGTGAAGTGGTACTGGGAAGGGCAGCTTATTTAATTAATATCAAGTGATGGGGCCGGGATTAGCTGTAGAGTCAATACTTTTTGCCATGCTAATCCTTACATTTGTAGTCTGTTTAATGATTTAAATGATCTTTGTTAGTTGTTCTTTCTGCTCCAAAAGCTAGCTGATAGAGCCAAAGTCTGCAGCCTGTCCCAAAACAGAAATTACGTATGGTGACATTTTCCCAGAATCTTTTTTTTAGGGATGTTTGAATTATTGTAGGTCTAGAATATGCCAGAGGGATATTAACCACTGCTACAATATAAGACCATTGTAGATCTTAAAATTATCAGATATACTGAATATTTGTCAGTATTTATCAGTTCCTGTTACATAACAAATATGTGATTATCTTCCATTATCCTAATCTCATAAATTTTCTTATTATCCTTCATTTTGTCTGAATAAATTGAGTTGACGACTATAAACCTATTGCTAAGAACACTTTTCTTCCAGATACATAATGTGAGTATTAATAAAGTGATTTATGATATATTTTGACATATGATGCTTTCATTTTTCCTAGATGAAAGTGAAGAAAACAGTTCTTTTCTTTTCTTTTCTAGAAAGCATCATTTGCTCCACTCTGATTGTGATCATAAAATTACAGAACATGCTTAACGTTCTGGTCCCTATTATGTTCCAAAGAAATATTTAATTTCAAAGCTATGGTTGTTTTCCAGTTCTGCGGAGGAGTTTTGCTAAAATATTTTTCTTTTAATTATTAAAACATAAGGGCAATTCATAGGAGTAGTGTAATCCTTCTTCAGTGTTGGCCAACACCGCAGGCATCTTGAGAAATTACTCAAAAGTATTTTAAAAGGGATATGTGATCTGAAGTCATCTCTCCATGCTGGCTGTCAGCTGTATTGGGCATTCGGCCAAGGAGAAGTAAAAATACCTATCCCTTCACCCTGTAATAAAAACAAAACTGCTGTTAAAAGGGAAATATGAAGCAGATAAGTTCCAGACAGACTAGCCCTCTGAAGTGGTTAGCAGAGATCCAGGTGCCTGAATGGGCGGAATCGTTTGGAGGAGACCTAAAAGAGTCTGAGGATCCATCTCATTTTCCTTGACATTAAAATTTCTGTGGTACTTTTTTACAAAAAAAGAGGTTTTTACCCAAGGTTCCTAGCTAGAGTTTCCTTTCCTCATTTTTTTTTTTTCTCTTTCTCTTTCCTACCTGATGACTGCTCAGAGTCCTAGACATGCTTTCAGTACTGTTTTATTTAGGTCTACTTCACTCTTATAGACCCACATATCTAGCTGTGGACAATTATGTACTTATGTATTGCTGAAGCTACTGAAGTACTGCAGGTTAAGTCTATGCATTGATGTTTCCCTTGCCAACACTAGAATCTACAAAGCCCTTTTGAACTAGAGCTCCTAGCCAGTATAACACGTGATAGATATCAATGGAAGATAATAAAAAATACATGTTTAAATAAAAAAGTTTTAAGATAGAAAGTCATTTATTCTTTTCAGCTATTCAGAAGCAAAAACTGGGAGTACAGCTATAGTGAGCTATCCTTTAATGGACCTCAGTTTTTATGTAATCCATAGCTTTATTTCAGATTTTCAATATGTGTCACATTCAGCAGAGCACAATTAAATTTAATCTGGAGAGGCACGGAAGGTTCCTAGAGAGAAGGAGACATTTCCAAATAAACTTGCTGGGGAAAATAAGAAATAAAATAAGCTTAGTGTACAGACAGAAACTCTCCATTGTTAGAGAGGAATACCCATATATATATGTATTACACCTGCATACATACACAAAAAGCAATGTTAAAAAGAAGTAAGTTGGCACCTCAGTTTTGGCTTCCGGACTTTGACTTGCAAGTTTTTCGATCCAGGTCTCCCCACGCTTCCCAATATGCATGCACATACAAATGGCCCATTAGTCGATACACTTAGAGCTCAGGATGGAGAGATTTCCTGGTTTTAGTTTTGTTGCTTCTCTTCTTGCACAACAGCCAGAGCTGGGGCATGATGATAGATCTGAAGAATCTAACTGCTCAGTTCTGTGATCTGTGCATACTCCTGTTTTAATTTTCCAAAGAGGCTTGTGAAGTTGCAGCACATGTCACAGGCTGATTTTCGGATTGACACAGGCTATTCTGCCTCAGGTCTCCTCTCCAGCATACAGGCATGCATACTTTTTAATGTACAATTTCTCAGAATGTGTTACAGTACACATATTTTTCCTATTATGTCTTTTTATAAAACAAAAAAAGTATTTTGGCTTATTTTGGGAGGGGAGGGGATGGGGCTGGGAACAAAAAACAAAACAAAGCAAAAAACACAGACTCATGGTACACTCAAGTCCTACAAGGTTAAGAGAGACTGAAAATGAAGAATTATCGGACTATATTAATAACAGATGACAGTACCAGTATTCCTCTAGTACATTTAGCTTTTCATTATTTCTTATATTTTGTGACATCTCTTTCTCCCTCTCCCTAGGAGAAAATCCTTCTGTGGCTTCTTCAGTTTATGCAAGAACAAGGGATTTCACTGGATGAGGTTGACCAGGATGGAAATACTGCTGTTCACATAGCTGCTCAGCATGGCTATCTAGGATGCATACAGGTAGAGTGGTAGCTATATCAGAAACCTCTTTATATCAAACTGGAATGACAGCCATTAAAATTATTATAGTGAGATTTTACAAGTAGGAATAATTATTAATACATTAAAATATAATAGAAGGAAGAATTTTAAACCAGTAGGACTCAGACTGAAATACCAAAAAGCTCTGGTTTTTGGATTCTATTTTCAGTTATGCTATTGTTAGCCTAAAGTAACTTGTATTGCAAGAAGAACACATGATTATATTGTTTATACATAAGCAGCTAATATGTATGTTTTTATGTTACAAAAGGGCAGCCAGTGTAGGTATGTGTACTGTTCTTACTGTTCCGATATTTTCCTTCTGTTTCTTTTTCCAATGAGTATTTATAGCTCTCCAGCTTAGGGGAAGTCTAACACTTTTTGTGTGTTGAAGGATTTCCACCTTGAGTAAACCATACTTTCCAGACTTGCAATCTTTGAATGTATCTGTGCTAAACAATGCAGTGTGATGGTGATTTCTATCTAATTGTCAATGAATCAGCTTGGCCACTGAAAGCAATATAGTTCTGTTGTATAGAGCTGCTGAAAACGGTAATTTGTCCTGCTGAGAAGACTTAGTCAGCTACAGTACTTTTGGGAGCCAGACGTGAATTAACCAGTTTGGATACCTCTGTACAGTACCGGTGTTCAGTGAAGACACACCAAAAGCTGTAGGGTTGAACTGGGTGGCTAGGTGAAATGTCTCAACTTTGCATTGAATTGCAAATGTACCCTCTGTCCATCAAAGTTACTAAAACCATTAATCACAGGAGTACATTTCAGTATTTGGTGTTGTTGTCACTTTGAGTGAAAGCTGATTGGAGAATAATAATAATAAAATTATTCCAGGAGATTGCAGAAAGGTATTTGAGAAACAAATTAGTCATTGGAGAAGAATAGGTAAAAGAATGAATAAGCACATGGCGAAAAGGCAAAAAGCAGAAATCAAAGTGATCATGTCAAGCAGGGGAAGAAAACATGTCTAAGAAGGAGTAGTAATTCTCAGAGTCTAAGGACTCAGTAAACATGTTAACCCTTTTACTACACATCAACTTATCCACAGCACCTCTTAGGTCACTGCAAATACAGAAGATTTGTATTAGTTCAACCCTAAAAGAAATACAGTTAGTCATAGAATCATAGAATAGATTGGGTTGGAAAAGACCTCCAAGATCATCAAGTCCAACCCCTGATCCAACTCCAATTACTATATCATGGCACTAAGGGCCACGTCCAATCTCTTTTTAAAAACCTCCAGGGATGGTGAATCCACCACCTCTCTGGGCAGGCCGTTCCAGTGCCTGATTACCCTCTCTGTAAAGAATTTCTTCCTAACATCTAACCTAAACCTCCCCTGGCAGAGCTTGAGCCCATGCCCCCTTGTCCTATTGTTGGTTGCCTGGGAGAAGAGACCAACCCCCACCTGGCTATAACCTCCCTTCAGGTAGTTGAAGAGAGTGATGAGGTCACCTCTAAGCCTTCTCTTCTCCAGACTAAACAACCCCAGCTCCCTCAGCCTCTCCTCATAGGACTTGTGCTCAAGTCCCTTCCCCAGCCTCGTTGCTCTTCTCTGGACCCGCTCCAGCACCTCAATGTCAGTTCTCATTAGCTAACCTCTCAGAGAGCTCAATATGTCTGCGCACACTGTTACGCTGAATCTATAGATGCATAACTGCTTATTATTATTGTAACAGTCTATTTGTATATCTGGACACAGAGAAGACAACTCCATAAAAGCCAGTTTGAGAGTCTTACATATTAAAAAAAGAAAAACAGGTGACAGTTGAGCTGGATGAGTAGACTTGAAAAGAACAGTCAAATAGATTTGGAGGACATGATAATCTCTGCATTTTCTCATTGATGGGACACGTCTTTCTTTTAAAGATGTCAGGAATGGACCTTGTACAAACTCCTATGAGAATAAAATAAACAAATCATCACATCCGTGCTAAATGTAGTGTTTTTATTATTGTATTGTAGACAATTAATGGTTATGATTTACTAGTAGGGAGCACTGTTCTGGTAGGGCGTGTGCTTAGGGTTCCTAACTCAACAGCACTTCATCAAGATGTACAATGCATTTGAAAGAGAAATGAGAGTAGATGATTTTAAACAGGGTGGTGACATCTGCAGGCCAAAGCTAAACCAGAAAGAGAATAGCTCTGCTTTTCCCATGAAGAATGAACCTTAATAAATGACTTAGAATTCTGAAGTTTATTTTATTGTAGATAAATATAAAAATCAACAAGTGTTTTGTGTTGAAGTGAATCCATGAGAAATAAATAATGAAAATATCAAATGACAACAAAAATATCCAGTGTTCGTAATGTCACTTCATTAACTCTTCACAGTCTTGAGTGTAGTTGACGTTTTGTTGTGCTGTGAAACAAAACAAGCCCTCTGCCCAGTGAGCTTATAGTCTGATTTAAAACAATGTACAGTGGATGATCTGGTAAAAAGAAAGAAGCAATAAAGGAGGCAAGGAGATTATAGGTAGCTGTACAAAAGATGGAGGGTCACAGCCTGTCAGTGATTGCCTGGCCCTCTCATTCACTGTGTTTATGAGCAGGTGACACTCCTATCATGTTCCAAAGGATAAGCTTGCTTTCTGCAGGGTCATAACTCTCCCTTCTTTATTTTCTTTATTGGCAAATTAAACAAAATTTATTGACATGACATGAAGTGCAAGAGTGTTTGTATGTTTCCTTTCTGTATATATTTATCAGACCAGACAGACCACCATTCCTCTTTTCTGTCAGCAGATGCGGAGGTCTCTGTGCCTGCTGTTCTGAGTCAACAAGTCCACTCCAGTACTCAGTGGCTGACCAGCTCTGCTTGGATAAGTCAAGCAAGAGTTCAGCCACACGATTCCTCTTCTGCAAGTGTATGTGTAATGTCAATGACACTGCAGTTTTTGGAAGCATTATGATTTTGTTCAGAATATTTTTCAAAACGCAGTGAGCAATGTGTGTCTGAACATTGCTGACAACATTTATGTCCTATTCTAGGCTCGCCGGTAAAGCAAATAGTGCATAATGCTGATTATCACAAATAGATCAGAAAGAGTGAAGGTTTAGTCTCAATTCTTGTTTAAGTTATTGGGTATCTTGAGGTCAGCCTGACAGAACTTCTTTTGCCCTTACAACACTCTGGATTTGAGTCTCAGAGGTAACTCAAATGTCATGCTCACAAGCTGGACAGTTCTCCAGCAACAAGATAGGGTTCTCTGCTAGTACTGTGAGTAACGCAGAGGTATATATCAGAGTATAAGCTATTCTTTTTTTTAAAGACTAAAAGCTGACACATATTTGAGCATCTCTTTAGAAGTAAATAGGGGATGACCAAGTGAGTAAAAAACAATGAAACTTCTTTCAGCATTTAAAAAAAAAAAAAAGTGAAAAAACCCCAAAAAGTCATTTTATAGATTTCTTTCTGCAAAAATAAATTTGTGCCTGTCTGACCTAAAGGAGTTGTTGGAAAGTATCTGCCATACCTTTCATATCCAAACATCACTTGGCTAAGGAATCAGGACATTGAGACTGCTGTGCTGAGTGTTTTAAACTCAGGGATTCTGCTGTGGCAGGAAATTAAGAACTAAACCACAAAAGAAGTCAGCAAATATTGTGGCAAAAACATTCCTGAAATGGGATTCTAAGGTTGTGTTGTAATGCCTTGCAGTGCAGAGAACCCAAGAATACCAGACTTGATAAGCCATTGCAGCTCATCACCACCCTCTATAAACCAGCTAGCAATGTGTTCATGCTGTCCTGGACCCTGATGTAATCTAGCACAAATGTTCTTTGAATTGCACATGCTTGTGTCTTCTTTTCTGGGTCTACGATGTGCAAAGTTAGCACAATATTCAGTAATACATACACAGGTGCATCTAAAAAAGTCTTATTACTGTGGCTCAGGAGATAATCAATAGGTACCTAAATGTAAGTCCTCTGTTTTCATTTGATGATCCCACTCACTGTATGAATGCTTCAGGTCATGCAAACTCATAGTACAATCAAAATTAATTGAGTAGAACTGCAAGAGAAGAGGAAGGAATAATACAGTCTTTTTATAGTTCTTCCAAACCACAGCTCACTCTTCTGTGTTATCCTGGCACTTGAGTGATAGATTTTAGTGGTGTCTGTTTTGATTTCAAGCTGCATACAGACTTGTCAGTGATTGATTTTTTAAAATGATTGCCTTAAACTGACATTTTCAAGCATTTTTTTCAGGATTGCTTTGCATTCAACTGTTCTCATGGTTGACCAGAAGAGTCACTTACAGGTGTCAGTGTTTCCTTTTGTGTTTTCACAGACTTTGGTTGAATATGGAGCAAATGTCACCATGCAAAACCACGTGGGAGAGAAACCCTCACAAAGTGCTGAGCGACATGGGCACACCATGTGTTCCCGCTACTTAGTAGTTGTGGAGACGTGTATGTCATTGGCCTCTCAGGTTGTCAAGCTGACTAAGCAGCTGAAGGAGTAAGTGTTTCATTGTTAGCAGAGGGATCATTCTTAAAACAAAACCCTACTTTGTCTTCAGTTTATTAGCACTGTCTGTTTTCTGCTTCTTATATATGGTATTTTCAAGTCATATTTCTACTTTATTTCTCCACTCTTCCCTGCTATCAAGCATTTGCCCCTTCACGTTTAGCAGCTTAGTTTTTCAGCTGTTCTCTTTGTGGCAGTTTGCCATGAACATGGATGAAGGGAGTGGGAGTGGAAAAGGGTATGTATGATGCGATCTGGTCCCTTTTCCCTTTGCGTACCTTGGGATCACATCACTGCTGATCATAATTTCTGTTTGCATAGTATGATTTTATATACAGTGAGTGGCTCTTCCCAGTTATAGTGCTGAGACTAGGAGGAATAATGGAAATAGTAGTTGAAGGGGGTTTTTTGGACTTGGAAAGTCACCAAAGCCCACAGTGGCTACTCAGGAAATATCTTATATTCTGGTTTTTCTTCATAGGAGTAGGTTTTAATTTATTAGTATGCTTTTTAATAAAAGTTCTGTAAAAAGCCTGTTACTTTGAAACATTAATTTATGCAGTTGCTCGCTTTTGTTGTAGATGCAGTTACTGTGACTTTGCGTGTCAATAGGCTCATAAGACTTTTAGAAACCATCAGCACTGACCTAATGTTCCAACTTAGATACATGATCAAGAGCTTGTCAGCTGCCACAAGCCATGAAAATGGCTTCTGACAATCCCATGGTAGAAAAGACCATATCATTTTATGCAAGCATAATGTGGGTAATTGTACTGGGTATAAATTGCAGGATTCTGTTACAGAGGAGCTGCAGGGGTGGCCTCTGTGAGACCAGGTGACGAGCTGCCCTTTGCTGGACATAACTGGTTCCAGCCAGCTCTGCAACAGACCTACTGCAGGACACAGCTAAGCCCATCAACCATGTTGGTGGCACCTCTGTGAAAACATGCTTGAGAAAGGGCAGAAAATGCTGGAGAGGAGGAGGGAACGGAAGAGTGACAGAGGGAACAGCAAGTTCAGAGAAGCAGGAGGTGCAGCATGGTGGAGCAGGCACACCCCCAAAGGGAGTATGACCCATGGACTACCCATGCTAGAACATGTACACCCCATGAAGGGACTGCAGCCCATATGGATAAGCCCACACCAGAACTGGTGCTTCCCTGAATGAACTGCAGCCTGTACAGGACTCATACTACAGCACAGGAAAAAATAGGAAGGAAGGAGGAGCAAAGAAAAACTGCTACACATGAACCCTGGCCTGTGCTGCTTGTTGCCTCACTGAAAAGACTGAGTGTAACCTGCAGTGATGAGAACAGGGGAAAAGAGGTGTCTGGAGTGAAGCCTGAGAATGGGGGAGAAGAGGGGCTTGGAGTGCAGGTGGACCTGGGAGTGAAGTTGAACCTGGAGAACGGGAGGATAGGTGTTGTAAATATCTGTCCTTTTTTACTTCTCAATACCTGAATCAATAATGAAATATTTATACTAACTGACAGTTAATTCCCCAGGTTGAGTCTCCTTTGCCATGATGGTAGTTGGCAAATTATCTCCCTATCTTTATCTTGGCCAAGGATCTTTTTTGCCTCTGTTCCTATTTTCTGCTCCCTTCCCACAACGAAGAATAAGGGGAGTGAGAGGTTGGCTCTGTGGGTGCTGGGCTGCCAGCTGGGGCCAACCCATTACAATGATACAATTTTTACTTTCGAACTGGATGTTGTCTTTAAAATAAGGGTAAAAATTATATCATTAATTCACCCTTTTGGTGTTATCAAGTATCTATTTTGTACTGTTTTTACAGCTAAAGAAGTGTGTCCACTACTACAGTCCATTACAAAATACCTTCCTGCATTTGAAGTATGCTTATTTTTATGTGTGTACCTCTAAGTTTTATATTATAAAGACATTTTCTATTTGTGATATCTTCTCTCTTCTTTTATATTTATACTCTAATAAATACAAACAGTAAACTAAGGGTTATTATAACTTTCAGTTTTCATAATTTTACAGTCTAACACTGTTCACTGGACGTTTCAAAGTACTAGGTGTTTTTTTAGTTGGTTCATTTGCTGAGAAATACTAAAATATACAAATCATCTGATATGACGGAAAAAAACAGAACCTAGGGCATTTTCTGAGCAGCCTACATTAGCACCTGACTCATTGCAGTATATAATGAAATTTATTTTCCCTATAACTCAATAGAAGAAAACCCACACACACCAGGAAGTAGAAATGGCAATCACAGATACTCCATGTTTCAGTTCTCTCCAGTGCTCACTCAATACTTGATATAAGTATTACCTCTCGTGTGGAAAAGACTTGTTATGTCAGTCAGCCTCCATAGAAATAGTCTAGTTCTGACTTTCCTGACAAAAGCATTAACACTTTTCCAAGTCTCTCCCTTGTCATCTCTCAGACTGCATAGGAAGTAATTTAAATGATTCTCATCTGTCTCCTGATGCGTTCCTTTCCTTGTCTCAGCTGGAGTTAAATCTGCTTCCTTTCAGCAGCCTATTTTTTCAGGCTTCAGATTTAGCTCCAGTAAGTGCAGCAGCAGCCTTTTCTTCATCTTCTACAAATTGACGTGAGTCTATTGTGCAGCCCTATTCCAGTTTACTGATGCAGTGAAATATTATGTTTTCTGCTTGAAAGAACAGCTTCTGCATGGCTGTTGGGGCTGCAAGCCTCAGGCCGTGAGTAGCTCTGAGAGGAGCAGTGGACCATGTTCAGAGGCCCATGCCTAGGAGCCGGGGGGGTGATGGAAGAAGACTCTTGCCCTGTTTTGCAGCCCCATCCTGCGTAAAAATCTAAGGATGTTACAAAGTACATGCCCGGGAAGCTTCTCAAGGGGCCTTACCTCTAGCATAGCAGGAGAACTTGTCGGCTACAGCACCTCTGAAGATCCTGAAAGCATCAGATGGCAGCAGATGGAAGTCTAGTTTACAGTCTAAGCCACTTCAAACTGCTGTTACATAGGAGTAGCTCCAACTTGGGCTGCTGAGCTGGCTTTCCTTTATTTTCTCCACCTACTTCTGCTGCTGTTAATGAACATTGTTCTGGAGACAGAGGAGTTATGATTGTATCGTGGATTACTTGAATAGTCAATATCAACACAAAAGGCTCTTACGTGCTTCCCATCCTTCCTTCAGCTGCTGTAAACATGAACTGATCATGCAGTCTTCTTTTATTCTGGCCTTATTAGCCAGGGGTAAGAGCCTCTCTCTGATAGCATTCTATGTCCCCAACCACAGGAAGAACGAAACGTTTGATATTGTGCAAGAACAGCATCACAGAAACTGTCTTACATCAGCACCTAGCAAGACATATCTTCAAAGGTCCTAAATCTAAGAAGGAAGTACCATCTTTTATTCTCTTTTTATGAGTTCTCCCAATCATCAAGGCAACACAGAGCAGTTCTAGAGAGAAGTTATCCCAATCCAGCACACTCTTTGGAGCCATTCCTGAAAAGAAAGCACAAAACCAAAACAACAAAATCACATTTTGCCTGAGTTTTCACATCTTTCAGCTCTTTGATCCAAAGCAGTTCAGATAACAGAGAAGTATAGCAAAACCTTTTGAGCTGGGTCTAAGCCTCCATTCTTACTTTGCAAGAAGTAAGTGGTAACTACAAATGTTTCATCGAATCTTTATAAGAGGATTAACTGAGACTTTTCCACAAAAGAAGGAAGGAACCAAGCAATTCTTTCCATAGGTAAAAAGGAAAGTGTCCCACAAAAACTGCTGTTACTGGCTTCAAAATAAAAGCTTTGGTTTGCATGTCTTGCTAATTACAGAAGTTCAGTCAATCCAGTAGGACTTTCTGAATGAAACAAAATGTTTAGGACAGTGACAAAAGTTCAACAAAAGTTACTCACAGAATCTATACAGAACATTGGCTTTCATTTTACTTCCTGAGGTCTCCATAGGTCTTACAATCTTAGTTATTCCCTCACTGATTTCATCTGTCTAAAAAAAACCTTAGTTACCAGTGTAGAAAATTCCTAGCTGTACAAATACATGGTTTCTATCACTGATGACATTAGCAGTAGTGACTTCTATTGTTTGGACTTTTCCTGGCCTGAAGAGACCAAGTCAGAATTAATGACAGAAAATTAATGGTCCCCTAAACTTCTTTTACAATGCTGCTTGAGGAGAGACCATGCTGCCTACCTTCCAAAACGGTTACACTGTCCTGTGTTTATGGACCTTGTCCCCTGAATCAGTCTGGTTTTAATACTTATCAATATTGCTATTCCAAGAAGTTGTGATCCCTTGTTTCAGTGTTATCTTAGATATATATGTGTACATTATGTATTTTTAGGGATAGTGCTGGCAAAATGTGTGGGTTTCTGTGAGCTATTTACTAACTAGTTAAACTGTGAAAATGGAGGAAACTTTCTTTTAGCACAATAAAATGTTTAAGTGGAATGTGTACTCAGCAGAAGGGGTGTCAGAGATTTCCACTAAAGCTAAAGGCATAAGAAGCTGCTAGCTACATTATTTACATATTTAGAAATAGAAGTTGAAGGGAGCATAAAAGGAAGTAAAACAGATAAATTGCATCACAATCTAATCTCAAATGAAAATTTCCCTGGCTCTTAAAAGAGAGTATCTGGGGAGCTGCGATATAAGTCAATGCTGACAGATGGTAGGAGTAATTTTTAAATAGTCTAAGGAAGTGTGTAGGCAAGAGGAAGGAAGATAGGAAATTAAAGTAAGTAAGAATCTACGTAGAGCATGGTTGTATTGTAAAATGTGATGGCAAGGCAGTTTGTTAAGATCCCACCTTTATTTCTGTAACACATTTCAGATCCACTCTGATATGTTAAAAGTAAAATGTTTGTTTTCTGCCAGCCTAGCAAGTACAACCCCTAGTCTAAAAACTTGTCTGGATTCTTTCTGGCTTTGACATTGCTAGTTATAAAGACTGCATTTGGAACTGGAACCCAGCTACTCTTCTGCTCATGGCATGTGAGCTAGGAAAGAGTCCAGCTCACTGGCAGAGAACTGGTTTTAGTTCTGCAGATCCAATAAGAATAAAAGTACTAAAAACATATTACTTCTACAGCAACAGAAGCAGACCTTAGGAGAAGCAGATAAAAAGTCATTTTCACATGGTCATTTGATCAGGACCAGGGAATAAACCCAAATGTACCAGCTGTATTCCAGGTGAAAGATAACGTCTATATAGTAACAAAAGCTGTAAGTCTCTTGCTTTCTAGTAGTTTCCCGATAATTCTGTCTGATTAGAGGCACTGGAATTTACAGGTCACTAGAGATTTAAAGTTATCTGTGGTGGTCAATCAGCTAAAGGGGTGTTTTGATGTTGGAATGGTAGGTCTAAACTGGATGTGAGCAGGGAGAGAGGGAAAAACTTTTTATGGTAAATTGATCAATTACTTCTTTTTTGTAGAACTACTTGGAAGTTTGCAGATTATCTTGTTTAACTGAGTCCTTCCCATGGAAATAAGTATGTGGCAGGACAACAGAGACTGTGATTACAGTTCTGTGGTAAATGGAGTTTCTAGTATGGATGTCACTTTCATATTACTAATGATTTATATCTACTATTATAGTATTAAAGTTACTTACAAAGCAGTGTAGATCACAACACCACACTGAAAGTGATAGACTGCAGTAGGTACAGCACTACTGAATATAAGGTGGGTGCAGAGCACATGTAGGACCTTTAGTAAGGCTGGACAGTAAGCAGATGTATTTTTTCCTACTTCTCTGACTACACAGAGTTCATACTTAGCTCCATCCTGCAGCTGGTGAAGACTGGACCAGCTCTTGCCAGTGAGCAAAGGCTCCTGTCTGAGTTCATTTGCAGATAGAAAAGGAGAGAGCAGTTGTCTGAGCTATCCACCAAATGTTAGAAGTGACTTCTTTATCTTTTCCTTTCCTCTTCCTTTACACAAACAAGTACGAACCAAGTGGCCCCAGGTTTGCTCTGACATATCTTTGTTTCTGGGCTATTATTTTCTGTGAGTCACTGTTTCAACGAACTGCTGCTTATGATCCCACACTTGTCCTTATATGAAGTATAATAGTCTCTGACAAGTAAGCATCTCAGTTGGTCTTGTACAGTGATCACAAAATGTCCACAGGGATTCAAAGACAAGTACAAACTCTATTTATGCTATTACTTAAAATTTCCCTTTTTATTTACTATGTAAAGTATAGGTGAAGAGGACTTATTTTTTGAATACACAGTTGAATGGGTAGTATCAGTTATCCTGTAGCTTACTAATGCTGACAGCTTTACAATTCAAGGTAAACAATCCTACATTTTCTTGAAGGCAGACAGTGGAACGTGTGACATTACAGAACCAACTCCAGCAGCTTTTAGAAGCCCAGCGGTCAGAGGGCAAGTCGCTGCCCACATCCCCAAGGTAAGGTGACTGGAATTGTGCTGCAGCCTGGATTTGCACAGTTTTGTGGTACATCAGTTACCAGGAGAGGCTGTGACCAGTCTAAATAGTAGATATGTTCTGTAAAGTAAATGTGTTGTTTTACTTTGTGGACTTGAAGCTGAGCTTCTAGAATTTGACAGTGTGCAATGTTGTATAAGTAATGGAAATTTTGAGTATGAAATGAATAGTCCCTGCTTCTCAACAGAGTGAAAATCAGATTTCCAGTGGAATAGAATGTATTTTATATTAGATGAATAGCAGAGGATCCTAGAAACCCCTAGGGAGGTTGTAAATTTTGACCTTGTGGTGGTCCACCATACATTACTGCTAGCAGTAATTCATAAAGCCAGTTACCAACCAAACCTGCTTTCAGCTTAGTAAGACTCCTTATGCTCATTAAATTTTTTGCCTGCAGTAGCTTGTATAAAAAATTAAAACTCTAGAAATTTTATGTATTGTTTACGTATCCTGTCAGAAGTCTTGGAAATAGACACAAACTGAGTAACATTAAAGAGAAGGAAAGTAAAGGCAGAAGACTGGATATGGCGTCCTTACATATGTCTCTGACTTCTGCCATAGTCTTCCAGTGTGATGCATGGAAGTCAAGCATGCACATGACTTCTCTCTGATAGCAATCTGAAGAAGACTTTGAAAGGAATGAAGAAACTCACATGCAAATAGGACTCAGTTTATCGTTACCTTCTCATTCATTTTCCTCTCTGTAAGATGTATACAGCACTTCTTGTTTCAGAGTTGTTAGGGAGCTACATATATGTTAAAGTATAAAGCCAGCATAAAAGCTTCTGCAGGCATTGATGGTCAGAGCTCTGGGTCATGAAGTATGAACTTGCAGGATCAGTGACTGCTTATTTTCCATTCTCACAGAAGCTCAGGCTGTTTTCTGGACAAGTGCTCCATGTCCCTGAATTTCATGTGTCAGTATTTCAGACAAGTGCAGATAGTTACAGAAGTAGATAACAAAGACATTGGGACTCGAGGTGCATTTGTGTAAAAGAACTTTAGTGAGGGAAGGACTGTAAATGCCAAACTCCAGCTGAAGTAGAAAACCACACTGGAAAGTTGTTTTGTCCTTTTTTTTAGAATCATGGTCTCTGTCTTCCCTGTCTGCCAGCTGAACAGCAACCAAATGCTGTCTTTCAGCTCATTTGGTTTCTGTGATTTTTGCTGACTGCTCTTTTCAAGTGGTCTCACATCTGAGTATTGGTGAGCACCAGGAGTGTTTTACTTTCAGTATCAGATAAGATCAGGTGAGAGCATATCTCTCATCATTCATTATTCCTGTAAAAGGGTAGGTTTCAACATCTTTTTATTTAAGTGACAAGTCTGAAAATGATTAAAATATTTAAAATTTTATTTCATAGTTGGCTACTATATTTCCTTCCAGTCAGAACTCACTTGTAGATATTATCATCATCCAAGGAGCCAGTATCAGATCTAAGAAAACCTATGCCTGTTACTAGAAATGTCTATTGTAGATACATGCGTATTCTTCAGTGTCTGTTTCAGTTTGCCACAGGAGAAAAAGCACAAAATTAGTTGGAGATGAGGTGGCTAGTATAGGCATGTGAATATGCACAGAATACGCTGTGAGAACTATGGACTCATCAGAGTAGAAATTAAACTCATTTATTCAGTGCCTCAGACTAACCTTAATTTTGTCATCTTACTTTTGCTTAGAGGAAAAGTGGTTTAAAATAAGAATGTGGAGTACTATGAGCTTTGGCATATATCACAGGGAAATAAATGGTCTCTGTAATTTACATTCTTTGAAAATCAGACTTACTTGAGATTGCTGTTTCCTCACTATATAACATTTGGAGTTCTAAATTTAATTTATTGTTCTCATAGTATTGAAATAAATTCATGTCTCCTTTCTCATGCTTTTCAGTATTTCATATCTGAAAAGGTTTTAAGTGCAAATGGACCTGACTTTTTATGAGGTCATATATGGCTATTATTAATACCAGATGAAGTTTAGATTTATGAAATCATTGCTATGCAGAGAGCTGGTACTTTCGCAGCATTTAGAATAAGCTACTTTTGTATTATGATGTGACTTGTATAGTAGGCATTTGGCCTTGTGGGGCTTTTTTGCCTTTTAAAACATGTCAGCACCCACAAATAGGAAACAGTAGTTTCTCTGAAGTTTTCCTCAGAAAGTCATCTTTGGCGTTGAAATAACCATTCTAAGTTTTGATTTTAAGGAGTTCTCTTTGTAAGAGAAAGTGAAGAGACTCAAATCCTAATTAGGAATGGAAGCAGGGTTGCATCCTTCTCTGTATTCTTTGCTGTGGCATCATAGTAATGAATTCCATGTGAGTAGCGATGAAGAGAATAAGTAACAATAAACTGAGGCAGACACATACACTGGAAATGGCAGTTTCACATTTTCTATGTGAATTAATTTGGCTATGGTATTTCCTTCTCTTTTTTTTCTTTAAGTTCACCATCATCTCCTGCTTCTGGCAAACCTCAGTGGAAACCGTCTGAAGCAGATGAATTGTCTCCACCAAAAAGTAAATTGAACACCCAAGATGGGATTCAGATTCTTGGCAGCTTGGGAACTTCTAGTCACACTCGAGCCAAGATAAAAGATGAGGACTCAGATAAAATCTTGCGCCAGTTGTTGGGAAAGGAAATCTCTGAAAACGTCTGTATGCAGGAAAAACTGACACTGGAATTTCAGGACGCTCATGCATCCTCCAAGAACGTGAAGAAGATTTTGCCAGAGAAAAGGGAGCTGAAGTTAGCCAGACTGAGGCAACTGATGCAGAGATCACTCAGTGAGTCTGACACAGACTCAGCTAATTGTGAGGATCACAAGAACACTCCTGTGAAAAGAACTGACAAACCAAGGCCTCAGCCCATAGTGGAGAGCATTGAGAGCACAGAGGGTTTGCACCTGATGATTAAGAAACATGCTTCTGCAGCAGGGCGACGCTTCCCTTTTGGTATCAGGGTCTCTAAGTCTGTGGATGGCCACAGTCCTTCCCCTACTTCAGAGAGCAGTGATCCAGATAATGAAGCCCCGTATCAGTCTGGTATTGTACCTCAGAGCCAGTTTTGTGGAGACAACTCTCCATCCAGCACAGACAGTGCCACTGCTCAAAAGGTTGCCACCAGTCCTAAGAGTGCACTCAAGTCTCCATCTTCAAAGCGCAGAACCTCCCAAAATTTGAAACTCCGAGTAACTTTTGAGGAGCCCGTGGTGCAGGTGGAGTTAGCAGAGTCAGAACTAAATGAGGAAAAGGATAAAGACAGGGGCAAAGGACTCATGCGGGCTCCACCGGGCTCTGCAGAGCCAGTGGGGGACCAGCTGAAAAAGCCTTTTGGAACCTTTCGGTCCATAATGGAAACCCTGAGTGGCAACCAAAATAACAACAACAATTGTCAAACAGCAAACCTGATCAAAACCTCATCAACGCTGCCTTTTACCTCATTAGGAAGGAAGACAGCCGACAGCAAGGGAAATCCAGCAGCTCTCACAAAAGGAAGAAACAAGCCAGTGAGTGCACTGAAAGGAGGAAGGGCCTTTTTTTTCTCTTGTCTCTGTGACAGCTTCTTCTTCCTGCCTTTATGTAGCAAAAAGATGCATACAAATACTTTACTGTATTTGACCTGTAGAAAGCCCATCCAGTGTTTTAATTTTGGAAGTTTTTTCCAAGAAGTGGCAGTTATTGCTTGTGTACAGAGTCCATACTCTTAGTGCACACAGTTCACATATTCTGTGTTGAAAGCTTTCCACAGACATGTGATTCACCTGGAAATGATGTTTGATGTTGCTTTGAGTGACAAGTCGTACAATGAGAATGTCACACTTGAATCCATGGGATTTCAGAAGAGTAATAACTGAAAGACTAGATCTGTGCTGTCCTATAGCCAAGACTGATGAGGCCAATAGGGTAAAAAT